TATATATATATATATATATATATATATATATATATATATAAACTCAGTGAGACCCTGTTTCTAAATAAATAAGAAATACAAAATAGGGCTGGGGGTATGGCTCAGTGGCCGCAGTCCCCAGTACCTAAAAAGAAAAAAAAAAAGTTCCATGACAAACTGAGATATGATCTCAAAAATTAGCACAAATAACTGAAGTAAAATGACTTCACTTTTTAAAAATAAAATAAACGATTATGTGTTGAAATAGTATTTCAGATGTCAGGTAAACAAGATATATGATCAATTTTACCTTTTTCTTTTTTACTTTTAGCATGACTACAAAAAAAGCCCCGAAGCTGCCGGCCTCGGGCAGCATTTTTGCTTACATTTCTGTTGAATAAATGGGAATAAGGCCCCGGGCTCTCTTTTAAGCGTGCAGCCTGCACAACTGCAGAGTCCTGGTCCCACAGCCGGCCTTCGCTCTTACAGTGGAAGTCCCCTTGGGTATATCGGCTCCCACGGGGGCCAGAAGGATCTCAGTGAGTGTCTGAGATGGGCGGGGGGACGGCAGGCTTGGGAACCAAGGTGGCTTACCCTCCAGGTCATCAATGGCACCGGCATCTACAATGTCATCCTCCTCCTCCTCCTCGGGCCCCTCCTCCTCCTGGCTCTTGGTCGATGGGCCGCATTTCCGGAGACGTCCCTTCTTACCGGCTGCTGCTGCGGCTGCTGCTGAGGCAAGGGTAGACGAGCCTGCTGTGTCCGGCTCCCAGGACTCCACCCTCCATGCCGTCCACGCCAGGCAGGCTGCTGCGATGTACCTGGACGGAAGTGCCGTTCCCGCATGTGCCGCAGCAGCGTGGCCTTGGTGCCGCTGCGGTACTGGCACATCCTGCACTTGAACTGCTGCACCACCACCACCTCCATCATGGCCTCCAGGCTCTGGAGGTCCAGCTCCTCAGTGCCAGAGGCTGGGGGCAGCTGGGCCAGGGAGCTGGCCCCACCCTGCACCTCCTCCGGTGGCTCCAGGCATGTGGATGTGGACGTGGGGCCATCTGAAAGGGCCTCGATGGCGGCCAGGCTGCGGGCCAGGGTGGAACTGGACATTGGTGATGTCATGGGGGCGCCTGGGAACAGGTCAGAGGATTGGGGGAGGTTAGCATAAGGCAGGACTGGCCATGAGCTCCAGCTGTCCTTCCCAGGCAGGCCCAGGGATCCCAGAACCAAATTCCCCACCAGAGGCACTTTGCCAAGAGAGAAACGCGAGGCCAGAGCAGCGGACAATCTGCCAAGACCACACAGGGCTCTGCGATCTGTGGCAGAACCTGTGCTCTCCCGTCCCTGCTCCCTGCAGGGCTCCGGGGCTGCTATTGGTCTCACCATCATCTGGGCCCTGCAGGATCAGATAGCGAGTGGCCTCAGCCCCAGCATCTTCAGCACTGGTCACGGTGATGCAGCCTAGGCAAAGAGAGGACGAAGGTCACCCTCCTGGAAGGGGGTGACAGGGCAGGCCCACTCACAGGTCCCCCACCTCCTGCAACTAGAAACCAGCTCCATGGTCCACTGACCCTCGGGTGCATCTCTGCAGGGCAGGTGGGAGGCTTGGTGTGGGTGAGCCGCAGGCCCAGTCACCAGGATTCTGCGGCTACCCCATGTCCCTGGCCATTTGAGACCTGGAAAGTGCTCCTCCTCCTGCTCCAACTTCTTCAGGGTCAAGAGTTCCCTGTGCCACTTTCTGAGTTGGCTTCCCAGACTGTCCCAGGGCTCTGTAAGTTGCTAGGGCCTCTGTCATGTCACTAATGACAGAAAGCACAGCGTGGTACTTAACAGCATGAGCTCTGGGGTTATCTGTTTTGGCTTATGGCCCAGGACCATCCTCCGCCCCTGCCTAGTGACAGTGGTGACATACTCTGTGCCTCAGGTTTCTCTTCTGGACGGTAAGGATAATGACAGTATTCGCCTTTGGGGTTACTGGGAGGATTGATGAGCTCCTGCATGTGAAGTGTGAGAAGTGTCCCTAGCACAAAGTCAGCTGTAACTGTTTCTGTCATCAATCGAATGCTGTCCCACGGGGGCACCACACGAAGAGCGTTACTGCACTGAATCATTTAATCCTGTGTCATCTGCCACCATGAAACAGGGTTATCCTTTCCCTCTCACACACTTGTCCCAGAAAGGTAAGTAGCGTGTGTCCACACAGCTGGCGCTGGACTTCGTGGGGAAGTCCCTGCGAGGCAGCCCTGTGGCCTCTGACTCACTCTGGATGAGGTCGGGCCCGATGGTGGACTCGATGATCTTGTCAATGGCAGAGCCCAGGTCTGAGGAGGAGGCTGCGCAGTCAGACACCAGCATGCTGGGGTCGGGGAGAGCGCTGGAGTGCACCAGTGCTGGGGGCCCGCCTGGCACCCCTGCCACAGGCCCACGGGACACGGAAGACGAATCAGGGAGGTAGCCATGAGGCAGAGGGTCGGTGCTTGAGCTGCTCTCAGACACCTCTTCCTGGGTGGCAAGAAATGGGGCAGTTCAGGAGCCAGGGAGGGGCAGCCAGGGAACCTGCAGCTCCCCTGCTGTCCTCGGCTCTCCAGCCCAGGACACGGTAAATGGGGCCACCCGCACCCTTAGCCCCACTGAGGCCCCGTGGGAGCAGCTCTCTAGTCAGAGTCTACTGAAAAAAAGACCAGTTGACTCTTGTCAGGGGCTGCCCCCAAATAAGAGAAGGGGTCTCTCCACACCCCTGCCACAGCCAGCTGGAGGCGTCCCACTGGGCTGTGGCATGGACCCTTCCTTCAGCCTACACCTTCCACACTGCCCGAGGCCAATCCCTACTCAGCCTGCAGCACCACTTAGTGGTGCCTCTTTTAGAAAGCCAACCCTGAGCCCAAGGCCAAGCGAGGACCTCCCTGTCCTCTGTGCTGCGGCCACCCCTGTCCCCATCACTGTGCTACATGATGGCAGGTGCTTCTGCACTTCTGAGGCTTTCTCAGAGAGGTCTCCCAGTGAGCCCAGGCAGGGCCAAGATGTGAACCAGGACGCTGCCTCTCAGGGGTGGGGACACTGGCCGTGCAGTGGAGAAGCCCAATGTGGATGCAATTCCTCAGGACTACAAAAGCACTCCCCCACTCGAACCCCAGACCTGCAGGATGCTTCCTGCACCACCATCACCCCCATGCCCGGCTGTACTCTCTATGAGGGCGTGGACCACACCTGTCTTGGCCCCAACTGTATCTCTAGGGTCTAGTGCATGCTGGACACATGGCAGGACCATCTCTGGTGACTTAATGAAACCCCAATGAGAGACAGGGCCATTGCTTTGTAGCTCTGTAGAGAGATGTCCTGCAGACCACCACCTGCAGGTAACCACGACCAGTGAGGTGTGCTTACTATGAGCTGAGAGAGGTTTCAACGGCTTTGCATATACTGACTCCTTTAATCCTCACAAAAACTCTACAAGGCAAGTATGGCTGTCATTCCCACTTTTGAGATGAGGAAGTCGAGGGCTAGAAGTTGGGTAGCTTGCTCAAAACCTCAGAGCTACAAAGTGGCAGGGCCAGGGAGAGATGGCTTGCAAAGTGCTCCCAGAGAATGGTGGCAACCCCGCAGGCAGGGAAGCAGGGACCCCGCTTCACTTCTCAGACAGGTCTCCCAGTGAACGCAGGCAGGGCCAAGACGTGAACCAGGACGCCGCCTCTCAAGGTGTGGGGACACTGGGCCGTGCACTGGAGAAGCCCAAGCCTAGATCTGCGTCCTGACTCTGTCCGCAGCCTGTGCCTTGATTTCCTTTTTCTTTAAAGAAAAACTGGCGTGTGCCTTACAAGAGATGAAGCTTAGCTGAGAAAATCCACGTCAGGTGTTTGGCACGATGCCTGGCTCAGAAACGACCAATATTAGCACCAAGCAAGCCTTGCTGGCTGCTGCTCCACGGCTGCCAGGTACTGCTGCCCTGGTCCCTGCCTCCACCCACGCCGTCCAGCCCGGTCCATACCAGAGAGCGGCCACCGCGGTCTGAGCTTTGCCCCACGCCAGAGTCGTCGGCCTCCCCGGGTCCTGGGACGGACGCGGCGTCGCTGCTATCGGCAGACACGGCTTCTGAAGTGCACACGCACAGGCCGCTCTCCGAAGGTTCCTCGGGCCGCCCAGGACGAGGGGCGGCGTCGCTACTGCTCTCCACCTCGTTCTCCTCCATCGGTTCAGGGGGCCGCCTGACAGCGGGGCGCAGTGTTTAGGGCTTTCACTCTGCGAGAAGAGGTGACCAGAACTGGAACAAGTGGGCCACCTCCCTGGCCTCGACTGCCCCATCTGCACTCTTGGGCCCATTTTGCAGATGCGAAGACTGAGTCTCCGACGGGGCGGGGCTTCACGTGTACTGCGAGGGGAGCTCCCGGAAGAGCACGGGGAAGCCTTGCCTCCTAGGCTAGGGCCGTTCCCTGGCACGGTGGGTCACTGGCCGGTAATCTTGGCCCTTTCCCCGGCCCCGCACAATGGCTCGATTTACTGGCCCCGTGGTTCAGCCCTTCGGCCCCCCCCCCCACAGTCCCCCCGGGTGCGGGGTCCGTGGTACAACCCGCAGGCCCCCTGGGTCAGTGGTTCGCTCCCCCCGCCCCTGGCTCCCCTGCGGAGGGGGCTGACAGAGACGGTCTCGGGGCCTGGTGACTCGGGGCTGTCCCCGGCGCTGCCTGAGCCCCAGGCCCGACGCCATCTTGTGGCGGCGCCGGGTTTCCGCTCAGGCAAGTGCGAGAGCGACTAAAGGGCCTGGGACCCCGGGGCCCTGTTCGGACAGCCCCGCCGGCCCGGGACCTCGCCGCCGGGTATCTCGGCAGTGGGGCTTTACTCCACAGCAGGGTGCAGGGTGGCGGCCTGACATTACCCGACGCTCACCTGAAGCTTTCGTTGCCGCCTTCCTCTCCGGCTCCGGCATCGACGAGGTCGCCATCCTCTTTTCCCCGCTGCGGAGGAACCCATCATCCTACTGTGTGCCGGAACTACTTCCACCGCAGCCCCAGTGAAAAACAGATTCCCAGTGTTCCGAAAGGTCGCTCTGAGGCCTCAGAACCATAATTGGTTCAGGAGGGACTCTAGAATTTTACCTGTTGCCTACTATAGCTGACGGGTCCGAGGGGGCGCCTGGGACTATTTTCTCTCGCGGCGGACGGCTACGGAGGAAGTCGTGTGACGTCACTGCAGGTCCCTACCCCGGGCCGCAGGGCGGGGCGCGGCGGCGGCGGCGGCTTCGGCTCTCCTGGGGCGTGGCTCCTGGTGTGTCGTTCACGCCCTTTTGGGGCCGCTCTGGAAAGCGTGCGGCGGCGGGAAGTTTAGACTTGGCGGGAGAGGAGTGAATCCTGCCATCGCCTTGCCTGTCTTTTTACCGATTGCCTAACGCCGACCTCGGGCCTGAGGGAATCTCGTCCGATTCGGTTTGATGTGCCCTGGCGGAGGGGAGCACGTGGTCCTTGTCGTACAGGTGGGGAAACCGAGGTTTCTAGACGGGAAAGACTGGTTCCATTTCGAGTCAAGGAAGGGACTTAGGAGGGAAGCCGGATGGCGGAGTCAGAGGACTGGAGCGTCCTCTGCATACACTGGTCTCATTAATAGGGCTGCCACCACGACACCCTCCCACAGCTGCCTGGGCCTATCATAAATAACGTACGTGTATGTAAAGGTCTTCCTCCAACCTTTCAGAAAATGTATGCCCCTTCCCCAGGATGCCCCAAATGCCACCTTCCCCTGAAGCTTATTAGCATTTTGCAATGGAAGCGCACTGGAGAGGGAGCGAGGTATCCTGGTTTTGTCCTTAAGTTTGTGTTGCACAAGTTTTTTTTTTCCCTCAATTGGAAAATACACATTTTGGGGAAAAGAATCTTAAAATCCTTCTGTTGGAGAAAACCTATTGAAAGGGACAAAAGGTGCTTTGAGCTGTTATTTTTGTGCACTCGAGCATGAGGGGAGCATGAGGAGGTTCCCCGGTTTTTCCCTAGGTGAGGTTTGCCTTTCCTAGTTTTCCTTCTGTGCTAGAGGGAATAGAGCAGGAGACTGGCCTTTGCCACCACGTCACAAGATTGCAGCATGTCATGATACCATGGAACAGACGGGAGAGCAAGGCCCAGAGGAAAGACTCATTGGCCCAAGACCTTGTGGTTCCTTGGAAACAACGTATTAGAATCATTCCATTCTAAAGTCAAGTGAGCAGATCTTGGGCTTTTTTACTGGGAATCGAGCGTTCTCCCCACCAGGGCATGCTGTTGGAAAGAATTCTGGAAGCAGTGAAGGAAAGGGCTCTAGGTCAGAGGAGTGTTAAAGTGGACCATTGAGAAAAAGGCATCCGAAAAGGAGGAGGTGTGCCAAGCAACATACGGGTGCGCACAGGCTTTGGCACAGCATGGTATCTTAAGAAATCAGGGCTTATCCTCCATGTGGAGAAGAGAAAGCTGAGGTTCTGAGAGGGGAAGTGACTGCGAGGTCAAGAGTGTGGAGCTGGCATGTAGACCCAGGAGTGTCTGATTTCAAAGCCTGTAGAACTTAGGTGCCCTGTGAAGTATGCCTAGTAATCCTGACTTTTAAGATACCCTGTGCCAGTCACTTCCAAGAGCTTTATATAAATTAATTTATCCTCAGAACCACCTTATGAGGTAGTTGTGGTTATTATCATTTTGCATATGAAGAAACAAGCACAGAACAATAAAGTCATCTAAGAAATGAAACAGTGTACAACCAGAGATATGAAAAATTGTGCTCTATATGTGTAATATGAATTGTAATGCATTCTGTTGTCATGTATAACATTAAAATTTTTAAAAAAAGAAATGAAACATTAAAAACCAAGCAGCGCCATCCTTTTATATCGCTGTACCATTTCTAGTGTACCTCTAATATTAGCTGGTTCTTGAATGGATACTTTGTCTTTTCCTCAGACATTTTACAGATGAGGAAACTGAAGCCCTGAGAAAGGAATTGACTTGCTCAAAATCATACAGCAAGTTTCCTGGTCTATTGGAGAGGGCATGAGTCCCGGCCAAGTCTCCTGCAGCAGATAATAATCATACTAGCCAATGTTTATCAAGCACTTACCAAGTTCCAAATGCTGCATCGAGCTCTTTAGACTGTAATCACAACAACTAGAAATCCTAGATCCTCTCAGAATTCCCACCTTGCCGATGAGGAAACAGGCTCAAGAGCAGTGAAGTGACTTGTCCAAGCTCAGGCACTTGATGGTCAGCACTTTTGGAATTTCAGCCCTGGTTTCCTGACCCAGCCCAATCTCCTCATGCCCAGATGCCCCAGGTGGGCAGCAGAGCTGAGAGTAGGCCACTAGCAGGTGGGTGCTTTGTGGCTCCTCCCTACCTTCCCTCTATGCCATTGCCATCTAGGGCTTGGCTAAACCTGTTTTTAAAAACCTATTTATAGCTTAAAACTGTACCATCACTTGGGATAATGAATCCCTTCATTGACACCCTGTGGTGTAAATTAAGGTTTCCTTTCATTTGTCCTAAATCTTCAGGATTGGAGGTGGGTGGGGTAGTGGGTAAGGTCCCTAACATCTCAACCCTTAAATTCAGAAAATAGGCTGAAGTCCAAATAATATTTGCCTGTGTGTGTGACAGTGATTTTTTTTAATATTTATTTTTTTGTTGTAGTTGGACACAACACCTTTGTTATTTATTTTTATGTAGTACTGAGGATCCAACCCAGGGCCTTGCACATGATAGGCGAGCGTTCTCCCACTGAGCCACAACCCCAGCCCATGACAGTAATTCTTGATATTCAGGTAGCAAGTAACATGCACGCAGGCATCTCGTCTGATCATACGGAGACTCGAGGAACAGGCAGGGCCTGGATTTTGTCTCCTTTACCCTGCCTATTTCCTATGGTATTGCAACATTTAGCCCAGTTTTACTGTATGAATGAAGAATGATCCCTCATTTTACAGACAGGTAACAGACAGAAGATGAGGGATATAATCAGGAAAATAGAAACCATGTCAGATGGTTCAAAAGAGATAATGTAAGCCACGTGTGTTGGCACGTGCCTGAAATCCCAGTGGCTCAGGAGGCTGAGACAAGAGGATCACAAGTTCAAAACCAGTCTCAGCAACTTAAGAAGGCCCTAAGCAACTCAATGAGACCCTGTCTCTAAATAAAATACAAGAAAGAGCTGGGGATGAAGTCTGGGATGTAGCTCAGTGGTGAAGTTTCCTGGGTTCAATCCCCAGTACCACCAAAAGAAAAAGGAATTTAATACTGAGAATCAGCAACAGAGAGAGCTGTTTGATGGCAAAACAGCAGCCTGGGGGGTTGAGGCAGACCTGATAATGGCAACTTCAAGAAGCCCCAGTTTCTCTGAGCAGGAGGTATAAAGAGAGGAGATGTATTACTAGAGACCAGGAACTGGGACTCTTCAAGGCCCATCTCACAGGACTAAATCCTTGGAGGTGTCCCCAAAGCTGCCCAAGTACCTCCCATACCTCACCTTTCCAGGACTGAGAGATGGGGAGAGATACCCTGGTTTCTTTCTTCCTGATTCTTCCCTTCCAATCTGTCACCAGGGCTTCCCATTGGCTGACCCTAGCTGGAAGCCAGTTGGCAAAGGAGCCTAGGAAACATGGTTTGCAGAGCTCAGCCTTTGCCAAATGGAGCCGACCAGGAGAATGTGAGAGAATGGATCTGAGACAAACAGAAAATTAACTGATCCAGATGATTCCATGCTGTAGGAAAGGGCCCCCTTCCAAGTCCATGGGATCTTTCTCAAGTCCTCATTTTTCTGTGTCTTGTTTAAGCATCACCTCTTTCCCAGTACAGTTGCCATCTCCCTACGGTGAGTTCCCCTGGTAAGTTCTGCATGCCTCTATCATAGCAGATGCCATGGTGCAGTGTGGCCAGTTATCTCCAGTTCCTCAATGAACTGAGCCTCCCAAAGCCAGACCCAGGTTTCTCTGCTGGGCGGAAGCTGGTTGTTAATGAGTTTTCTCTTGGTATGATGACATGGGATAAAGTACTCCAGAGTCAGGCCAAACTGAGCATCCAAATATCCCAGCACCTACATTTGTGTACTGTCTGATCTTGGTCGGGCTTCATTCCCTGCCAGTCTCAGTGTCCTCATCTGAGAAATGGAAGACAATAGAACTTACAGGGATGAAAGGACGTGCAGGGACTCGACTGAGCTTGTGGGCTCTGAACCCGCATCTGCATCTCTCCCACCTCCACCTAGAGACCTTCCATGTATTCCTTTGTTTCCTAACCTATAAATTAGGGAAGATACCAGTGCTTCATGTGGCATCCTTGAGGATGAAGTGAAACACTGAGGCAAACAGTGCAGGTAGTCAATAAATATGCTCCTACGGTGCCTATCTTAGCAGCTGAACACTGGCTAGGGAGGCTCTTATGACATGTCTCAAAGGGCGATCTTGTCTTTCTTGGTCACCACTGTAGCCACATTACCCAGCATAGTCACGGGCCTAGAGCAGGTGCTCCATCCATCTTGTGGGGCCATTGAACTGTGACTGAGTTACACATAACATTATTCTGCCTGTAAGCCCAGTGCTTTGTGACCTCTTCTGTCCCAGGTATCAGAGGACATATGTCCTACAGCAGCCCAACAACACTGAGACATTTTATACGGGTCAAGGGACCATCTTGGAAGGGAAGGCAAGGACTTCGGGGCAGGGGGAAATGTAGGGTCTGGGACACCTACATGTCTCAAAGTTTAACACATTGCATTTCATCCTCACAGTAGCCTGTGTGGCACAGATCACTGCCCCCACCTTAGAAGTGATGAACTGTGAGTTCCAGGGGATGGGGAAGTTCACCCAAGGCTGTGCAGAAATGAAGGGGCACAGCTGCATTTGAATTCTGGACTGTTGAGCTCCAACCCCCTGTGTCTTCTTTCCATGGTACCAGCTGCCTCTCAGAAGGTAGGGAATGGAAGCTGAGCCCCAAATGCCAAGGCTAAGGTCAGGCTTAGGCTGAATG